ATATCATCAGCTGCTTTCAGAATTATTGAAGCCAGATTTTTTTTTTTTTTTTGCCTTCTACTTCTGCTTTTCTTTGGAACTGTTGATGTTATCTTTTTCTGCAAAAGCTGCTATGCGTCTTTCCATAAATAATGCATTTATGGTAAAGCCTCAACTTAACTTTTCCTTAACCTTTTCGTTTTGTCTCTTCTTCCTCTCTGGTGACACCCAGTAGTATTTTATTTACTTCCATTTTATTTTCCAAGAATTTTTTAAAAAGGTTTTTGCTATAGCGCACATGTGCTAGCCAGAGACAGATAGAAAGAGAGAGGGAGCGAGAGGGAGAAAGACCCCCCATGGGGGATGGCCATGCTGCAATCCCTTCTCCTCCATTCTCCTTTCAGGATTCTGGGGGTGCACACAAGTGCCCAGAGTGTTTCTCAAGCCTTGAACCACATAGTCAGCATGTGGGAATCCAGCCACCCTGACCACCATACTTTTCGTTGGTTCACCACAGCCTTTTAAAAAAACTGTCTCTTTGCTGGACCAGCAGGTAGTATGTGGTTAAGGTGCTGGATGCCCTCATGGCCAACCGCAGTTCGAGTCCTGGACCTGGCAGCTTGGTTTCTCTTGCTTTCTATTGCTCTGTGGTTAAAAAAAAAAAAAGGGTGACAAATAAAATAAAATAATTTTTTAAAATGGTCTAAACGAATTCTCAATTGTTAATTGACTCCTTGAGGGTAGCTCTGACACTTTCCAGTAGTATGTAGAGGCCAGGTGACTTCCCCACTGCATGCAGCTATTCACAGTGGTTTTCTGTCAGTCTGGGGAAGCACCCTCTGCCAGGCCTTTGCGCTTGCTGTTTCCACCTTCTTAGAGCCTTATACAGTCATCTCAAGGCTGGCTGCATCTCAGTATTCTCGGTTCCCTTCACACATCATCCCCTCAGAAGGGCCTTCCCTCAGATGCCCTGCTCCTCACCAGCCACTCACTGGTTGATCTGCTTTGCAGCCTTTACCACCGTCTGACATGACATACTGCTTTTCCACTTGCTCATGATTGCTCCCCTCCCCTCCCCAGCTATGACGTCAGCTCCAGGAGGGCGGTGGTTTTGTCCAGTCCTGGCTAAGTCCCCGGTGACTACAACAGTGCCTGGCACATCACAGATGCTCAATAATTTTTGTTACATAATATGTATTTATTCCGTCAATGGACAAGAGAGATAGAGACAGAGAGATAATTCTTCCTACCATGTCTCTGCCATAATCCACTTACAGCTTTGGCCCAGATCATGGGCACACACATACCCAGAGTACTCAGGGAGGTCTCCAGGAGCTAACCCAGAACCTTCCCATGTTGCTCGGCCTCCCAAATCATCACATTTTACCCATGTGCCACATCTAGTCCCAATTCTTTTTAGGAGGGGAGAAGGTTTTTGTTATAGGGTGCATCTGCTCCCCAGAAAGACAGAGACAGGGAGACAGAAAGCGAGAAATCACCCCAGAAGGGATGGCCACACTGCAATCCCTTCTCCTCCACTCACCTCTTGGATCTTGGGCACACACACACATGCGCTCAGCATGAGTTTAAGCCACCGGGTCTGGGACTCAAACTGCAGTTGACTACATGGGAGTCCAGCAACGCAGCCATTACGCCACCTGCTGGTCCCTCCATTTTTTTTTCAAATGAATAAACAAATGAATAAGTGAGTGCATAAAATGAGAGAGTGTTAGGTTTTGAACTCACGCCTGCATCCTCCATCCTCCTCCAGGAGGTCCAGGCTCCACCCAGGGACAAAGGTTCCCATGAGTCTCTAATATTAGTCATTATCAGGGGACTTGTTTACTTCTTTATTGGCATTTGCCAAACCGCCTCTTATGATTTGTCAGAAGGCCCGTGATTAGCCCGTCTGGAAAACCTGGTAGGCGATAAGAAAATATATTTGCAACTTGATTAATAACCATCGTATGAGCGGAGACTCCGTACTTTCAGCCCATCCGGAATTCACTCTCTCTCACCAGGTAACAGCACCTGCCGTTCCTTGGAGGACCCAAGCTCCTCATAGCTTCCAGGGAAACAGAGGGCCCGGACTGGCCAATCACAGCCCTCCATCCCTGCCCACAGTGATTGGCTGAGTGCTGGTCATGTGACCCAAGCCTGGCCAATGAGAATATTCCAATTTCATAGCACAGTGACTGCTAAGAGCAGGCTCTAGACCAAAGCAGGAGACATCTAGGACGTCTGTTGGAACCGCAGGACGCGAAGCATTTCCTTTTCTGCATTTGCTAAGTTTAAGGGATGGATGTGGAGCTGCTGGGGCCATATTTCTACTACGTGTAGAGAGGCTGCAAATGAAGAAGGCGTCGCCAGTGGATGGAAAGATAGATTTTTTTCTTTTCCTTTTTTCTTTTTTTGTTTCCGTTTTTGTTTTGGCCATAGGGCATGTGTACTCCCCAGAGACAGACAATGAGAGAGAAAGTGAGAAATCACCCCCCCCCCCCAGGGGGAGGACCATGCCTCAATCCCTTCTCCATTCTCCTCTTGGATTTTGGTCACACATGCTCCACATGATTTTTCAAGCTGTCATGTCAGGGACTTGAACTGTGGTTGACCATGTGGAAATCCAGTGCCTTAACCACCATGCCGCTGCTAGCCCCTCTTTTCCTTTTTCTTTTTCTTTTGGAGAGGTTTTCTGCTATAGGGTGCATGCACTTGCCAGACAGACAGAGACAGAAAGCGAGAATTCACCCCCAAGGGGGATTGGCCACGCCGCAATCCCTTCTCCTCCATTCTCCTCTTGGGATCTTGGGCACGCACGCACATGTGCCTGGTGTGAGTTTAAGCCACCAGGTCTGGGACACGAACCGTGGTGGACTACGTGGGAGTCCAGCGACATAGCCATTACGCTAACTGCTGGTCCCGACTCTCTTTTTCTGACAGACGGAATCTGTGTCTCTGTGGTGCCCAGGTCCTGCCTCAGCCTGCAGAGTCTCTGGTATGAGAGGTCTATGCCATCATATCTGGCCAAGCGGAGATTTCTGATGACATCGTTTAAACACCTAGATTCATCTGTATCCGAAGTCCATGCAAGCCTTTCAGATTTGGGGTTATGCAGGACTATAGAGTCTCGTCGTTTTCTTTGAACCAGTTCAATTTGAAACGCAATCGTTTGCCTCCAATGAACTCTGCCTAAAAGGAAAGATGGACGAAGTCTAAGAGGATTTGACCCTGGGGAGCACAGACTGAGGCTGGAGAAGAGAAGCCTTCTGGAGGAGAGATGGTTAAGCGTCGCCTGGAGGAGGAGGATGGAGGAGCCAGTGTTTTTGAGAACTGTAAAATTCCATCCAAACTGCTGCGCTGAGCCCACTGAACCCTAGCGGGACTTCTCGCAGTGTAAGATCATGTCCTTAGAGTGACCCCAGCTCCCCACTGAAATGCGATCCTGCCAGGACAATTTACCAATTGTTCCAGCCTACATCTGACAACATACTCCTAGCCTCCCTTCATCAGAGCCTTTTAGAAAGGCTTACAGTTGGGAATTTAAAAAAAAAAAAAAAAGAAGAAGAACCCCCCCCTTTTAAAAAAATAATTATTTTATTTAACATTATTTATTTATTTTAATTTTACCAGAGAAGGAAAGGGTGAAAAAGAGAGAGAGGGAGAAGGAAAGTGAGAAAGCAAGCTGCCAGGTCCGGGACTCAAACCGTGGTTGGCCATGCGGAAGTCCAGCACCCTTAACCACAGCCACAGTGTGTGTGTGTGTGTGTGTGTGTGTGTGTGTGTGTGTGTTTGGGGGAGGGTGCTATAGGGTGCATGCACCTGTGCAAGAGAGAGAGAGAGAGAGGAGCACCCTCCACAGGGTCTGGCCATGTTGCGGTACACCACCCTCCCCATCTAGTCCTCCTCCAACCTGTCAGATCTTGGTGGACACTCACACACAGGCCCAGTGTGTAGTAGTAGTTTCCTGTGTGATTTTTTTTTTTTTTTAATTTTTGCCAGAAGGTGCATGTGTCAGAGAGAGGGAGAGAGAGAAAGCATCACCAGTGGAGCTGAGTCATGCAGTCACTCCTCTGTTTCTCCTTCTAGGATTTCGGGCACACACATGTGCCCTGCATGCTCTTCAAGCATCGGGGCCAGGACTGGAACCGCACAGTCACCGTGTGGGATCTGGCTTCCTTAACCACCAGGCCACCACTGGTCGGCGGTTGGTCTGGTTTCTTTTGAGCAGCTCATTACCCCTGCCCCAGGGAGCCAGTCCGATTTAGAACCTTTCCTTTGTCCTTTGGAGAGGACTCCTACCATGTATGAGTGCCCTTCCTCAGGACCTGAAAGCTCTGCCTTTGAAATGGAATCATCAAGAAGAAGAG